TATATATATATATATATATATATATATATATATACGTATAAATAATCGTTTAAATCGAGTTTCATCGAGGATAGTGTTTTAATTCTTTATTTTCTAACTTTTCTTTGTTATATTCGGTATTGAAAAATAAGATTAAAATTGTCAAAGAAGTTGTAGAAGAACGATTATATAAATGAAAAGGAATTTTTTTTTAAAATTGTAATTAATACTATCGAATAACAATGTAAATGAAATTGTTGAATTTTTTTTTATATAGTTATTACGGTACATGGAAAAATAGTTTTGTTTAATTTCAATAAGAAAAATTGAAAGAAGATGTGGTTACTGCAATAATCGACGTATTCACGGATTCTATAGAGTCTCGACTTTTTACTGATTCAGTAGTGCAACGTTAAGAATAAAGAACCACTTTCAAAGAGTTTGTAAAAGATAGAGGAATAAAATTGAAATACTTTTCAAGACTCGGAAAGGAAGTCCTTCGGACTTCTCTCTGAAGAATAAATATGAGAGTGGGACGTATTTTTAAATATAATAATTTTATCTTCCATATCTTTTTGAAAATCAAAAATTAATAATAACAATAATAGAAATTTAAAATATCGTAAACTAAAATTATTTTAAGAAACAAAAAAATTGATAAAATAATTTTTATCGTTTTATTTTATTTTATTTTAATTTTTTATTTTTCTTTTTTTTTTTTACATTTCTCGATCGTCAATGATAAAAATCGAAGGTGAAAATATTTAACGAATTTATTTTGCTGGAAGAAAGAATCTCTATGCCTCTCCGAAGAATCAAACTCTTTTACTATTATTTCAAGATTACCGAATACGCTTGATCAAAATTAATACGCGTTGAAAATTACCCGGTAGAATTTCAACGGTCGAAGAAAAACCGTTAACCGAAGAGCACAAAGAAGAAGGAAGAGGATTTAAAATAATCATGACGGATTTTAACACATCGTCGAGCCACTACGTTTGCGATTTATCGTCCTTTTACTCGTATTATTCGCATTTGCATGGATGGATCTCCCTTTTCGTCTGTATTTTCGGTTCGATCGCCAACGTTTTAAACATTCTCGTTCTTACCCGACGAGAAATGCGATCACCGACCAATATAATTTTAATGGGATTGGCCGTGGCAGATTTGCTCGTAATGATCGATTACATACCCTATGCGTTTCACTTTTATCTGTACCGTCGATCAAGAAGGGACACGTTCACTTACGGATGGACGATCTTCGTGCTGTTCCACTCGAACTTTTCTCAGGTAAACTATCATCAATTGCGATTATTTGAACTGTGGATATTTGTGCAAATATCCATTTTATATAATGTATTTTTTTTTTACATCAATGTAGTAAAAATTCTGATTATATTGGATGTGGATCGGAAGATTGAAATTTTTAAGGTTATAAATTAATTTTTTCAAACAAACAATGTCAATTTATTGGAAAATCATTATATCAATTGAATATTCGAATAGAATATAGTTTCGTAAATATCCGCAGTTTAATGATAAAATATATAACGATAAAATATATTTTATACGTCGTTGAAATTGAAAAGAATCGGAAAAACGAAATATTCAACTCGATGTAAAATTATAGAGGCTTGAGATTAAGAAAATTTGATTAATAAATTATACTTACTTTGAAATCTTATTATCACGAATTTTTAATTACTTTCTACGGTGTGCAATAGAGAAAAATTTATTAAGTATTTATCTTGACTAGGTTTGATTAAGGGAAAGGTGACTGCGATAATTTTGCTTTTCCGAATGAGAAATGTTATCGTACTACTAACCTATAAAATCGTTTGGTATTTATGACTAGTGCATTCTTTCTGAATCGTCATTCCCTCGCTTTTGTTTGATGAGGTTCGACCTACATGTTTGGAAATCAATCACTTCAATGTTCTATACTTCCTTTATCTTCACCTGTAATTAAAGATCCAATTGCAATTTAATAAGAAATGAATTTACCTTTATTCTCTTTTCCAATTTAATTTTGTATCTCTTAGGAAGATTAATATGAAATAATCATGTACCAATGCATATCAAAGTTGGAAAAATTCTGTGATATTTAAACGAAAGAAAAAAAGCAGAATTTCATTACGATTATAAAAATTATTTTTCTCTCTTTATCGGATTAGATTATATTAATTCGAACGTTGAAAAACGACTAAGTGAAACGAACATGTAAACGAACATAAAATTTATAATTGAAAATTACGTTGCGGAAAAAGAAGGAAAAATGAAGATAAAATTCGTGGAATAAAATTCACAGGTTTGTCATACGATTTCGATCTGTTTAACTTTGATACTGGCCGTGTGGAGATACGTGGCTGTGGCAAGACCGCAACAAAACAGAGAATGGTGTAGCTACAGAAGAACTATTTTTGCTATTTTAATTGCTTACATTTTCTGCCCGATACTTTGTATACCACTGTATATTACAACAGAAGTAAGAAAACAAGTTGAACTTCTCGACTCTAATGGAATGACCGTACATAATCGAAATGAGAGTTTAATTGGTAAGTAACCTGACCTTATTTCTCAAATTTATCCACACATTACCGCTTAATTATTGTTGATCGGCAATTTTATTTTCTCGTTCTTCAACAACTTAAAATTCCAAAATTTGATTCTAAAATTTAACATTTTAGGTTAGATTCTGATTCTAGCATGAAAGCATATTCAAAATATTTAAAATAAAATATATTTAAAATATTATATAATTTTTAATATTAAAACAATTTAAATAATTTAAAAAAAAAGGGAATATTATAGAGTATCCAAGTTTGAAATTTTAAATAAAGATAATTGATTATACGATATGTATTTATATTTATATAGAAATCATAATTAATGCATTGTTATCTTTTACAAATAATAAAGAAAAGCAATAATAATAAAAATATAGAATGAGTGTAAACAATTATGATTAAAAATGAATATCCTACTAATTATTACGAAAAGGTTGATATTGAACATATTTACGGATAAATTGATAGCACTCGTAATCTTGATTTAATATCAGTACAAAGTTGGAAGTACGCAGCGCGTGCATTAATGAATTGAACTTCATATTTCAATGGAATAATTCCATCCTCTGCTGGCAAGATCATAATACCATTTCCATGGAAAATGATCTCAATATTGAGTTAGCTAATACAATTTCCTTTAAATTTGAGTATCACAGAAACTATGACATAAATAATTTTTTAGTAGTAATCAATTAACTTAAAATTAAACTGTATAAATGTACTTTGATATGAGAATATCGTATAATAATACGATAAACGAAACATAGACGAAACATTTTTTACATTTTCGTTAATTAATACAATTAAAATTTTTGGCTAGAAATGATAATATTAAATGGAATGATGGAACTAAAATTTTTAAGAATAAAAGTATATAAGTTATATATGTTGAGATATTACGAGATAAGTGTGCGTCGTACATTTTGAGCGAAGGTTATGTACGAAGAAGAAAAAGCTACTTAAAATAATGTTACGTAAAAGAAAAAAAAATGGACAGAGAATATCGTTCCTCTTCTTAAATGCATTAAATATTATTGCGCAAAGAGCATCGTAATTTTTTTATGTTTATTTTATAATAATGTTAATGATTCTTTTTCGATGTTTCAGTAGGGAATACGACGAATACGACGCTTTATTTCGTCCGATTAACAGAAACAGCGGAAAATCATGATATTTTAAAGGAACTAAATTTCTGGATCTATAGCGTTGTGATAAAACTTTTCCCTTGCCTCGTGCTCACGATCGTGAGTTTAAAACTTTTGCAAGTTCTGTTGGAGGCAAAGCGAAGAAGGCGGAAATTGACTAACATTCAAGAACAAAATTTCGAGAAAAAAAAGAGTTGTCGAAGAGCAGATAAGGAACGACAAACTGATAGAACTACTATGATGTTGCTCGCAGTTTTACTACTTTTTCTAGTGACCGAATTACCACAAGGCATTCTGGGTCTTTTTAGCGTGCTCCTTGGCCCAAGATTTTTCAAGGCTTGTTATTTGATGTTAGGTTAGTTGTGTGACAAATTATATATCAAATATTAATTAAAGGATAAAATAGTAATTCGTTTCATGTCTGAAATATCTTAATAACCAACGATTTATTTCAAATATTTCATGTATTTTTATATAAGTATAATATGATAAAGATTTTAATCTTTTGATAGATAAGACTAAAATATAATTTAACAAGATAATTGTATAATTTATGTATATGTATAACAATTGTTTTTTATTTTTAAATATATATATATATTTTTTTTTTAAATTATAAAAGATACGAAAATATATATCGTTGAAGAGGAAAAAATTTTTTTCCTATGAAAAATGACGGAGTTATCGTCACTATAGTATAAAAACGGTATATAAAGCATACAGTACAAACAATGCAGTAAAAAAAAGTTTAAAATCGAGGAATTTGTAAAATCTTGATATGCTTGAAAAAAAAAAATGTAAAATTAAATATTTTCCGACCCGTATTAATTGTTAAATTCTTGTTGATCAAAATATTTATAACAATTTATTTATGATACATTAATAATATAATGTTCGATAGAAAATGTTTTTGAAATAAATGTTTCGAATATAACAAGTATTTGTTAATTTTCAGGTGATGTTATTGATATGCTAACACTTGTAAATTCAGCCATAAATTTCATTCTATATTGTACAATGAGTAGACAGTTCAGGAAAACGTTTAACGAATTATTCTGCAAACATTGGAATATTTCCAAGAATAGTGGAAAACAAATTTGTATACAAAATAATGGAAATACAGGTACAAATCATACACAAGTAACACAAGTATAGTTAAGAAGAAAATAATAAAGTTTTTTTCCCGTGATTTTTCTTTATCGAATAAATAAATTGATTGTGATTTTTGAATAAGTAAAATGATTTAATAATAAAATTAGTATTTATTTGTTTTTTTTTTGTCTTCGATCGACATAAACATATATGTCGATAAAAACTAATAAAATATAATACTTTATATTCATGTACATTAATAATACAAGTTGATAACATTGATAACAATTTATTATCGACATTTCTTACGAAAAGAATGTAAGTATTTCAAGTTTTCTTTATCTTGTAAGAAGTGAGTTTTTATAAAACTTTATATACTATGCCAACAGATGGCGCTAAAGATGATTTTCTTCAAATAATTTGATTATGATTAAAATTTTTTTGAATTTAGGAGTATTTGAGCGAAAATACCACTGCCAAAATGGAGCTGATGAATAATATTATTATTATATAATATGCAGTGATGTTTTACTATAGAAAAAAATAAATACATATCCAGTATTCCTAAATTCATCAAAATTTACTTACGTATTTGTTTAATTCCTTTGAGAACATCAAAAACTGATTTTAACGAAGAATTTATACTTTCATCTCTAAAAATCTAGAAAGGTATTTAAATATTTTATTTAACATTGAATAAATTTTTGTTTATTAAAGTTAAGTTAATACATCTTAAATTGCGAATTGTAATTCAAGTGTTTGTTACTGCTGTTGTAAAAATATAACAGTAATGATATATCGTGATATCGATTATGTCAATAATGTTCCTTAATTTTAATAAATTGTATAAATTGTAAATAGTCATATTTTCACGTACAAATACAATGTAAGTATTAACAAACACCTGTAACTTGTAGCAACGAACATAGCAATACGAATATACACAATGTAAAATATAAATTGTATACATTATATATTATATTATATTCATTTCGTTATAATATTATTTTTCGAAACAAATTTTCATTTATTAATATTTTTCGTATAGTCGAGTGGATGGAATTTAAATATCGGAGATAACTCTACCCATGTATTTCAAACACCCCCTGTTGTCGATTCTAAGAACTAACAATGCCAATGGCGGAACTAGCTTCGTTTGAGACGCTAAAGTACACTCGCCGAATAGAAATCGTAGCACAAATTTTGTAACAAATGTAAAATAAGTGAAATCAAACAGTGATAGCCTTCCAAATTTATAGTTTTATCAATGAAAAACATTTCGGAGATTCCTTAAAATTTAAATCTATATTGTGCATTAACTATAACTGTATATACACACAGGAGACGCTTCGAGAACGAGTGTAAAAGGTACGTTCACCTTTATCCTTTTAAATCTTTATTTTTGTATAAATTTTCTATTTCTTAACACGTTACTATATCTTTTGCAAATAATTTCGTTAAAACGGTATTGATTTATCTTTATCCTGATTTATAACGTACGAGAAAAAATGCCGTTATGTTGCTTCATTAATTTTTTTCATCGATATGTATATAAAACTGAAGTATAAAATTTGAAATAATTTTATTTTTATATTCTTAATGTAGTACGTTGTGATTATTAAAATATGCTCGTTGCTTATTATTTTATACGATTTAAATCATATAAATTCTTATATTCTTTTTTTGATATATTGTTCGTTTCACATTATAAATATTAAAAATAATACATAAATTTATTTTGATTATTGTTTTTTAGAAAATAATTATTTTTCATTCTTCCCAAAGTTATCTACATTTAATTTTATAATTTAAATTTTATCAGTGTTATCATTGTGCTTCTCGCATTGTGAATGTTGGCAATTGTATATTAATTATTATATATGAAACTTTTTCGCGTCTATAGCTTATATATTTTTATTTTTTTAAAATATTAGTATTAGTATAATTAAATAACATTATTATTTTTAATTTTTAATAAAAGAAGATAATATTTTTACGTAAAATAAAAGTATAAGCATTCGCGTCATAAAATTTATAATTTTTTTAAGGCTTATTATTTATAATTAAATATTCGATAGAATTTACATGGAAATGTGTTCTATTATTTTATTTGTTATACATTATTTTGAAATCAAGATAATATAATATGTTTGAAATTCAATATATTTAAATATACATAAAAGTTTCCCGTAAAATACATTTCATATCTCGTGCACGGGGAAATCATTTGAAGAGAAATATTAATAAATATATTATTCTTGCAAGCTTTTATCATACATCGAATAAACATTCTATTTGATTACTAAAGTATTTTGCATTCGATGGCAAATATTTACGAAATAATAACATTTTCTTGGAAAAATAACTTTATTTTTACATTAAAATTTCTTATATTTCTTAATTTCGCATGTTTTTGTTTTACGTTCATTAAATATGAGGCCAAGTAGTATCGTATGTCCCTTGTTGTCTTTTCTGAGAGTTTGCAAAATTAAAATTTATAAACTCGAAACTATTTTCTTGAAAAAATATTAAAAATGTGTTATACGTACGTACAAAATGTTAAATTTCATATAATACAAATTATTTTTACGGAAGAGTTATTTGTAAAAAAATAAATAAACAAAAATAAAAGTGATCAATCAAAAAAATTTTGCATCAACTTGCAAAATTAACTCTTTATAATTTTTTAAAAATTAAATGCTAGATGTTACATGCACAAAATAACTTTTTTTACCATATTTTCAGGTTTAAATTTTGAAACATAATATCTCACGATGAAAATATATATTTATTATCGCAAATCTTTTCCCATCATTCTTTACCAATTTACTTTCTTCGATCCAATCGAAATATTTATTTTTACCATTTTGAAGCCTAATTATAGATTCGTAAAGTTTTATTTTCCATTTAAATTTAAATCGATATTGTAAAATAATCAAAACATTTTTCTCACGAATCGTTTATCATTGACCTTAGACGATTCGATAACCGGATCATTATCTTTGACGCGGTTCAACTTGAAAGGTCAACCGTATCGGCAATTAAATAACGAAAATTGGATAAGTTCTACTGTTACGGACCATTTTTCATTCGAGAAGGGAGGGGGGGATTAATTTCGAAGGTCGTACAAGTACGTTACATACGTCGAAGAGGGAACTTGTTTTACTAACAAATCGTAAGCGGCACGGGTGTAGATGCATACACATGTGTAGAATCGATAAGAAAGAGGATACAGTTTGTAAACTAATGTATATGCGTGTTTCGGACAACTGTCTCGACCTTAATCGGAAGGCGCGCCCTTGGAGCGCTGTTGTTCGGGGAAAGGTCGATTCGAGAGAATCGAGTGTAATCGTCGTAAAGAAGTTTGTTTGTTTGCGATAAGATTGCTGCCTCCACCACAAGGTAACGGGCACGATAATATACCACTCTATGAGAGGCCCATATACGCGACCAGTTGAAATGGGAGCGTGGCGTGTCTCTCGATTTCTCCGTTCCAAACGTTCCTGGAATCCTCTCTGAAATAGATCCACCGATGAATGGTCCGCTCGTTTCTAGCATATAACATTTATCATCCTTCTGGTCTCGTATACGTTCTGGTTAGCCTTTCTAATTTACCTTCGTGGCGACATTATAAAATCATTTGCGCATTCCTGCCAAACTGCGCTTAATCGTTACAAATTGCTTGGATAGACTCTGTAGGATACGCGGAAAATATTATTTTCAACACAGAGAGAGAGAGAGAGAGAGAGAAGGAAAGATTCAGCCAGTCGCGCCTCTTTCGCAATTTAACGTTTGAATTAAAATTGCGCTCGCATTATATCGTATTTCAAGGAAATCGTTCCAATGTATCTATCGCTCCTTCAGTTATTGCCACTGCATTGTTACACTAGCTTATTTAGCGATAATTGGTACCCCATAATACCGTTGCGGATTGAAACCAAACAGCCAACAGCTGTTATATAATTCTATTTAACTTGCTGTTCGCGAGTAAAAATATAATAAAAAAAATTCTTTGATGACCTCTATGATTTTATGATCGGAATTAAAAGCTTTGATCGATTCTTTGCTGCGTGTTTCGAAAACTATTGGGCGGAACAAGTTTGACATGAATCCTTGAAATTTTAAATTTTGATTAGAAAAAAGAAGAAAGAAAAGGAACAAAAGTGATTTTATCGACCGAGACTCGATATGAATTTCTTACGTTTTCAAATTATTTATTTATTTTTTTTTTTTTTTTCGTATATTGCAATTTTAATATGTGTCTCGTACAATCTTTTCTCAATCCTACGATATTATTTTTAATTACACGATTATATTTTAATATTTTAATAATTTTACGCGAAATTTAAAATTTTGATTACACAACATTAGTGCGTGATTATTAAATAATTGTAAAAATTGCACGCGTTAATTTTAACGTATACGCGCAAGTGTATGTGTTGACGACTGGTGTCATCGCTGATGACAGTTACTAAATTACTAATGATTTCAGATTCATTTCGACGTACTTCTCCGACGCCAATGTGTAAATACGTTTTCAAATCTCACGTTTCAACACAAACAAAATGGGATTCGTCTTTTCTCTTTGCCATTATTATTATCTATTTCACGAAACGGTGCATACATTTACACGGGCCTCTCCTTAATTTTAACCGCGTGAACAATATCTTTTGCAAAGATCTCTCTCTCTCTC